AAGAGATTCAGATTACTGTGCTCTGGCTTCCTAACTGAACTCAGAATACTGGAAAAGGCTTATTTCCTCAGCCAAGACCGCATTCCCTGGTGCAGACTTTAGGACTGTAACGTGACGTTTTGGGGGGTCATAGTTCAACCAATACAGCTGCCATCAGCCACTAGCCTCATTTCCATGTCCTGCCATAAGGAAACACCCAAATGAAAACACCACCTTGTTATGTCACTTCTCTGTGCAACTGCAAGGTCAGCAGCTCCAGGGGAGAAAGATGCGGCTGTCTGCTCCTGTAAAGCTTTACACTCTCAGAACCCTACTGAGCAGTTCTGCTCTGTCCTGTAAAATGGCTATGAGTTGAGATCAACTCGATGGTGGTGGGTATGGTTTTGGTGGGTACCTGCCTCAGGTTCTGTAGCTCCTTAGTGCTGACTCCCTTTAACTTGAAGATCTGCCTGGCCCTTACTCTCCACCATGACCCTCTGCTGTGTAGCTGGGTCAGGTCTGCTTTCTCTGCTTGCTGCTTATCTTTCTATTTCTTACCCACATTCCTCATGAGCAAGCATCTAGCTTAACTTGTTCTCATCAGAGAAGAGCTTTCTGAAGGCCAGCGTCCTGTGTGTTCAGCGCACCTTTACTCTGGTGATCCTCACATGGTTTCTGGGGTCACCTTTGTAGCCGGTCTGTGAGCCCAGCAGTGCCTCTGGACTTGCCCATCTGGCAGAGCCCTAGAGTAGTGGGAAGTGAGGAGTGCGCAGGGTCAGATGAAGGGCATTCTTGGAAGAAGCTGCCAATGTGACTGATGAAGAGGGAGCCAGTGGGCAATTGAGGTCTCAGTGAGTGAACAAGGAGGAGACTGGCGACAGGCCCTGAAGGCTAGGTAGGAAAGTTGGAGATTTTGTTAGGTGACAAACCGTCTATGTCAGCTTTTCAGCAGGGGACGCAATCATCCAGTACTGTCTGTTCCCACAACAGACTGAAGACTTGTTAGATGCCACTCAGGAATGAAGGATGTGGGAGAGGAAAGAGACTGACCAGTGGTCCCGGGCCTAGAAAAAGAACAAATGGGAAGAATAGTGAAAATGGCTGAGTGCTGATCAGGAAGGCTCCTGGGATGTATTCTGGAAGTAGGAGCTTTTCCTTGTCAGAGCTACGGGGTGCAGCAGCCAACTCCCAATGTGGAAATTTCTGTGCTCTTGACCTGTGTCCCATTTACTTTGAAAAACCCCTCTGCCTGTGTAATTGTTCACTTAGAAACATGTGTTTTCATCTCCCCTGCCCAGGCCCAGGCCCAGGCTTTTGTCTTTCTTCTTGTCAGCAATTTTTGTCAGGGCTGACTGGGAGGGCCCACATTTCTGGGAGTTCTCAGCAGTATAACCCAGCCAGTAATCCAATCCCATTCAAGCTGATGTTCCTCCATCATGTGCTCTACCTCCAAAGCTCAGGCCGACAGACAGCTGGCCAGCTGGCTTCCTTCAGGAACAGTGCCAAGAGAGCAAGGCTTTGGAATTCGCAGAGTTGTGTGGTCCAATGAGGGTTTGAATTGACTTTTGGTCTGCCTTGCTTTCTTTGTTAGTATTGTTTGCTATTACCAGCATGATAGGGGTTTTAGGAAGCATCACACATGTAAATAGATGTGAGCCAGTATAAAGAATCCTGATATGCAGGAACCTGCTTGGAGCAACACATAAGAAAGAGGATAATGATTTGCTGATGGCAGGGCCTCACTGAAGAATATAGGCAAGTCCCTTCAACTTGTCAAGCCTGTTTTCTCACAAGGAGAAAGGGTAATAACGCTGGCTGTGCTGACATCTTTAAAGTCTTGAGCTGTGAATGTAAATGAGAATTTAGTGGGAGGTAATATCATTGTAAATTTCAGAGCATTCTATGTATTTAAGGTGTAACACGGGCCTATATGGTGTCAGAGTCCGGGAGGGGCCAGGCTGCATACCTGTTTGAGGGCAGGGGGAAAACCAGGAAGATTGGTCCCATTCAGTAACCTGATTAGCATTTTTGCTTGCCTCCTTGGGCAGAGAGGGCAGTGACTGATTTTTACCTTTTCCTGTTCATTCCCCCCTTTGATGTCCTTTGGGATCTTTTCCCCAGGGGCATCATGTAAATGTTGCCTAAGGAATGGTATTGATTTGGATTGCTGGTACCCTTTTCGATGGATTATTGTTTAATAGCAGTTCCCATGGCTCTGATTACTAGTGGGAGTAGGCATGGACTGATTAAATAAATTCCAAATAAAACAGGACTCTACCCACAAGGGTCTTGAGCCCTGTAAAGGTGAAGAACTACCCTCCCCATAGGCTCTGTGGGTTCCACCCACTTCAGGTTTGCACAGGGACATGGGCAACTTTCTGCATTTTTACAAGGTCTTCTACTGCCAGATTCTGGTCATCTACTTGTATGCAGCATTTAGCAAAATTAACCTTCTCACATACCCTTCCTCCCTCCACAGCCAATAAGTAGTTTACGGCTAATATATTTTGATAGATGGCATTTAGTATCTGGGTCTGTTGACATGTAAGAAGGGTTAAGGCCACCTTATAGGTTCAGTTACCTAGGAGGGTGCCCTCACTTTTATAGCAACTATAGAAGAGTAGTGTGGTTACTGTTTGGCCCACCTTGGTGGTGTGGGTGTATTGATTACAAAGATTTCTCCCTTTCCCACACACCAAAGTCTAATTAAAATAAGTCCCATGGCGGACATCCTCATGCTTCGGCCGTGCATAGATCAGCCATCTCCCGGTTTGTGGCTGAAGCAGGGCGGGTTGTACGTTTCAATGTTACTTTATAAGGGTTGGTATGATCAGTTTCAGCCTCTCATGGAGACAAGTCTGCTGTGGTGAATCCAGGTGGGGACTCCTTCCACCTTGGCTGCTGGGTTTGGGATAATTTCTTGTTCCAGCCCTCAGTAATCTTTGCAGATGCTTCTGGATGCCCTCCTGAAAGGAAAAACAAATCAGATACATTTATTACACTCTGAGCTAAATAGGCCCAAATGTTTTTCATCCCTTTGAAAGGAATAATGTCTTATGAGAGTCCCATTGTGTCCAAGTTAAGTCCGGCTAACTTGACAGCTGACGGGGTGGCTAGAAGGCCTTCCCAGGGTCCAGTCCACTTTTTTCTCACTGGTTTTCAGGTCCATCTCTCCATGTTACGACTATCACCCATATTAGAGTTCTGGTGTGGTGCTGTAGGATAAGCACTGGACTGACACTGGAGCCCTGGCGATGGAGCACTGTCCGCAGAATGAAATGACCTGATGGCTCTGGTAACAGTGGACGGTCTTGGAAACCCCAATGGGCAGTTCTCCTTTGTCCTACAGGGTTGCTATGAATCACAATTGATCTTATTTTTGGTTTGACACCTATATAGCCCGCAACTTCTTTTTGTAACCTTCTTCTGACTCTCCTAAAGGAGAGTATTTGAGGAATCTCTCCTCTGCTGGATACGCTTAGCACTTCTGATATTTCTACAGGTAATATTTCAGCTCATTCTCCTGGTCTTCCCAGAGCACTCTTAGTGTCTAAGTTTTGCTGTTGTTGTTGTTAAATGCCTTCAAGTCAGTTCCGACCCACAGCGACCCTGTATAGGGTTTCCGAGGAGCGACTGGTGAGTTTGAACTGCTGACCTTGGGTTCAAACCGATTTTGTGGTTACAGCACCACACCAGGAATTGATGTTAAATTTCATAAAAGACATCTCAAGGTTATTCTCAGCTCAAAGCTTTATACAGTCTCCTTTTTCCTCTGAACATTGTCAGAGGAGAGAAAGGCATTCCTGGGAAAAATTTTATTCCTGGAATGATGTGTGTGTGTGTGTGTGTGTGTGTGTGTGTGTGTGTGTGTCGGGGCAGCCAATTGGATGGCTTTTTAGCTCCTTCATTGCTAATCTTCTTTGACAGGCCCGCCTTGCTTGTGTTCACATCTTGGTTCCATGAAGCTAACAAGTGACATGTAGCACCCCTTAGTTTTAGGACAGAGGGAAGGACAGGACCAAAGCTCTAGGATCTACCCTGCACCATCACTCCTTTTGTTTTTCTCCTCAGTGGCCTGCAGTCTTTTCTTCTATACCCCTCTGCTTCACTGGACCCTTGTTGTCATTGTTGTGAAGTGCCATTGAGTCAGTTCCGACCCATAGCGACGCTGTATAGGGTTTCCGAGGAGCAGCTGGTGAGCTTGAACCACCAACCTTGCAGTTTAAATGGCTTTGCAGTCTGGCGCATTAACCCACAGCTCCACACTAGGACTCACTGGACCCTTAGGCCCTCAAATTTGGCTTGTTCACTGCCTAGTGGCAGTTCGGATGCATCCGCTGTTACTCTGCTTATCGTGGTACCTGAGAGCTGTTCTCCTTGGCTTTTTTACTATTATGTCCAACTCACAAATGCGGTGGCCCTCACTTACTGCTCAGTCAGTTACAAGGGGACGTCACAGAGTCCATGGGAAAGTTCCATTATGTTTTCATTCCATTTTTCTATGAAGTGGGATTCGAATTTTGAGCCGATCACTCCCAGATTGCTACAATGTGACTATTTCAGGAAGAAAGATGGCGTGCTAAGTCTGTTTTTTCTGTTTTTGTTTTGTTTGTTTGTTGTTGTTTTTTAAATATGGTTTTAAAAGAATCCTGGTTATTTTTCTATCCACTCAGCTAATCTGAAAGGATTAAACTGAGGTGACAATTTGAATGATTGTCTTTTTTTTACTCCTCCTTTATTACATTAGAAAACATTTTTTTTTTTTTATCAGTTACCAAGTATTCAATATGTCTTGCTCCATTCTATTAACAGCATGGGGGTGGGAGATGCAAAAAGAATGAAAAGCAGAATTTTATGTTACATTCTACTTATTGTGTTGTTCCAACTTATTCCCTTGAGGACAAAAATCAGTATAATGCAAATAGCTTTTATTGATGCTCGATTGTTTTTTTTTTTTCTATTTCATCTCAATAAAAACGGCATCTCTGAGCATTGGCTTCTCTCTTGCTTTCTTTCCCAAGTCCTTTTCAGTGGAGAGGGACCCACATGATAGCAGCAGTCATTACCCAGACGAACCCTGGCGGATAACGGAGGAACAGCGAGAGTACTATATCAATCAGTTCCGGTCCTTACAGCCTGACCCAAGTTCCTTCATTTCAGGTAATGGAACACAGACGGGGGAAGCGTGGGGGCCCAGGGCATCATGCCCTTGTAAGTCACAGTTAGCATCTTGAGAAATCGTTCAGACAGTGTGATTACGACTAACTTCTGCAATTTCCATTTGCTTTCCTTTAAGACTGAATTTCTCATCAACTATAAACCAGGCAGGAAAAGAAAGAAAAAGACCAAAATCACTGGCAGTGACACATGCATTTGGGAAATGATGGCTTAGTTTCAAAGGGCCTGAGTGGGAATTTGGGGGAATCTGGTCCTGATCCTGTGCCTTTCCAACTGGAGCAGTTCTAGAAATGACGGAACTTGGCACCAAGGCTATACCTTAAATTTCATATTAACATTAGAGTACGATCACAAGTCTCCTTATGTTAGATAGGTAATCCTTGACTTACAATATATTCGTTTGACAACAAAGTACATCTATCACCAGCCGCTCCTAGAAACCCTATACAGGGTTGCTATGGGTCAGAACAGACTTGAAGGCACTTACCATGAACAGAAATCATTAATAATACATTGCAGTGCATAATTTGCTGATGTCCTTCTCAGATGTGCACTCTTAGATGTTGAATTTTACGATTTGCTGTTCAAAACAGTGCTTGATTGCTAAAGATACTGATAATAAAAGGCAACCATGAAAGCTAAAAATAAAGAAAAATATGTCAGAATTGACTTATATGGAATTGTTGGAACAGAACCCCACCATAAATCTGGGACTACCTACGTACATCTCATGGGTTCAAATTCATGTTCATTTCCTTTGGCTCCAGTTTTTATCTTACTATTTATTTATTTTTTTGGCCTGAGAGATATTAAAATGTAGTAGAAAATTGGCCAGCATTTCCATGTCCATATATCAGTTTTTCTAAATTGTCTTCTGAAATTTATATTCTTGTTGACTTCTTATGCAAAATTAAAACAGAAAGGAAGTGATTTAATTGGTGTGTGCCAACATTTTACTGGGCTAACAACCAAACCCACAGTGAGCTAGAGGAGTCTGGAAGAATAATTTGTAGCATATTCTTTTTATACTTTAACCTTGAAGAGTAACAGTGTTATTGATAATTGCAGCCTAATCTGTTGAAGTGTGGAATCAGCTAATTTTCTCTCTTGAAATAAGGTATATGATTAAAATATACTGATGTACATACGAGGTTATTTTGGTATGGTAATGGCTTTTTGAAGGCAGTATACAACAACAACAACAACATACTGAAAATACAAAAAATGAACGTTGACAACATAATTGAAAACAATAAGCAGAACCCCAGATAGCACGTATTTATCACTTGCTAACCTAAGGAGATCTGGTAGCATAGTGGTTTCAAATCAGACTGCGAACCACAAGGTCAGCAGTTCAAAACCCAGCTCTTCCACGGGAGAAAGATGAGGCTTTCTGCTCCTGTAAAGATTCACAGCCTCAGAAACCGACTCCACGGCACATAAACACCACCAACCTTGCCTACTAGAGTCCTGGGGTGGTGCTGTGGGATAATGCACTGGACTGCAAAGTTGGTTTGAATCACAAGGTCGGCAGTTCAAGCTCACCAGCTGCCCCTTGGTAAAACCTATACAGGGTCCCTATGAGTTGAAACCGACTCGATGGCACTTAACACCAATAACAACAACAACCACCACCTTTCCTACTGCTTGAGAGAGTCTCTTCAAAATAAATGCAAATAGTTTGTTGTTGTTGAGTGCCATTGAGTCGGTTTGGATTCCTAGCGACCCTGTGTAGGGTTTCCAAGGAGCAGCTGGTAGATTTGAACCGCCAACCTTATGGTTCACAGTCCAGCGCTGACCTACAGTGCTACACAGGAATGATTTTCTTGTTTTCTAAGTTACTCTTCTGCAGAATTTCCAGTGTAGGTAAAAGTAGTGTGGCTCTCACACAGCTCCAGCAATTGTGTTCTATGTCTCACCTCAGATGATTGTTACCAGTAACCAGACCATTTGACAGTATTTCAAGGTGCAGCTCTAGAGATGAAGCTTCTTTGGAAAATACAACCATAACTCTTTGATACACCTAATGCAGTGAGCACCGATTCCTTAACATCATCAAGCCTTCATTGTTCACATTCCCATGATAGGCTCTCAAATGCCCCTTTTAAAGCTTAGTTTGATCAAGATTAGGATCAAGAGAAGTTCATGTAATGCAGTAAAACCGAAAAACCACACACACTGTTGTCTGGTCGATTCTGACTCATAGTATCCTTACGTACTTCAGAGTTGAACTCTCCCTGAGGTTTCCAAGGTTGTAAATCATTACGGAAGCATATCGTCTCATCTTTCCCTATGGAGTGATTGGTGGACTTGAGCCACCAACTGTTTGATTGGCAGCCCAATGATTAGTGCCCTGTGTTCCCACAGCTCCTTATATTACTATTAGTTTTGATTTTTTTAAAGATATCTTTATTAAATGTAACTTTCATACCCTAGAATTCACCCAGGTAAAATGTTGGGTTGGCATAGATATCAGTCTGCCCTTTTGTTGTACTGTGGTGGTTTGTATGCTGCTTTGGTGCTGGAAGCAATGGTGTTTGTATTCCGTATACTGGCAGGGATACTTATGGTGGACAGGTTTCAGTCGAGCTTCTAGGCTAAGATTAGGAAGAAAGGCATGGCGACCAACTTCTGAACATTAGTCAGTGGAAGCCCTAGGATTCCCAACCGAACATTGTTAAATACAGGGCTGTATGATACAGCCCCTTGGTTGGGAGGTACTCAACATACCCAAGTGGCTACAATCAGAGAGAAGATGGTGTAGCACCAGTAACGTTTTGCGCTTTTGTATGTGGGGTCGTCACGAGTCAGAGCCCACTCCATGGCAATGAACAACAGCAACAAAGAAGGTTGCAAGAGGTTCCTGGGTTTGTTTCTAAAACAACCACCAAGAGACTTTAAATCTCACCAAAAAAAGAAAAAAAAAAAAAAATCTTTCCCAAGATGTCTGTTTTATCTCTGTGCAGTAGGATTAAGTTTCTTCTTTTTGGCTTTCCATTCTACTAATGACCTTGTGTTATTTTTTTCACTGTTTTGTTATAAGTGCCTGACAGATTTTTGCTTTAATAATTTTGAGATTAGTTCTTTGAGTTGTTAGTAAAATGTCAGATTTTTGTTAAAACGAAGTAGACATTAATTTATATAATCTGCATGTGTCATAGTGAGTATTCAGTCATTGCTTCTCTTGCCCATGTTGCTGTTGTCACATGACCCCTAGTTGGCTTTGATGACTAAATGTTTTATTTGTGGCTGTGTTTAGGGATTACTGAATGAAGAGATGGGGATTTCTTGTCAGACAAATGTGAATGCTGCACTAGATAAGTAATTAATGGTTTATTTAAACAATGACTCTTGACAGGTTCTGTGGCTAAGAACTTCTTCACTAAATCAAAGCTTTCCATTCCAGAACTCTCCTATATATGGTAAGTACAATTAATACCACATAGCATCTCCTATCCTTTGGCTTTTTTAAAAGTCTTAGTTTTTAATGTTTTTAACAGAATAAGAAGAGTGATTAAAACTCCAAGCTTTGTTGCTATGAAGATGAAAGAAGTTATTATCCCTAAAATATAATTAAGAGTGCCTGGCACATAGTGTGAGCTATTATTTTCAAAGGAATTTCCTAATTATTATCTTCAAAATCCCTTTTCCGGTTGCAGTTTTAGACATATTAGAGTATCCACCTTACACATTCTATTTTCAGAACTTATCTTGTGCCCCGTGTGATAGGCCAAGAAAGGTTTTGGCAGTCTAGCTGACGCTTCTCGCTGCTTCTGAGCTTCGTCCTTTGGCTGGGTCTCTCTGCTGGGCCTCCTGGCACTGCACTGCTGAACCTGCACCCTGGGGCCCAGAAGGCTGGGTCTGACCTGTGCAAACGCTCAGGGACTCTGCAGAGCCCCGGCTGGGTGTGAGTGAGTTTTACCCAGGACTGAGCAGGAGACCACATGGTGATAAATACAGAATGTAGCATTGGAAAGTTGATGTGGCGATTTTTTCCCACAAGGATTTTGTAAAAATTCTGGAAGGATTGAAAATATTGTTACATTTTGTGCATCTTATTGGAAAACGATTCCAGTAATAGTTGTGCATACCATGGGAGCCAGGGCTCCGGAGCTGGGTTTAAGCTCTTTCCCAGTATACTCTGGCTTCATTTTTTTCTTTTTACAAGCTTTTCAAGGTAGGAAAAAATAGTAACATGATTGTTCTGAAAAGAATACAGTCTTTTTAAGCCGGATTCCCAGTATTTACACCATTGGCAAGAGGCTTCCTATCTTTTTGTAGAGACAAAGCCCAGAATGCTCCTACCAGCCCCTGAAGCAGGCTCTTGGACCACTGTTGCAGGGTTAAAACCTGTGGTTGTCAAGTTTTGATGCCTGGTGTTGTTGTTAAGTGCTGTCGAGTTGGTTCTGACTCATAGCGACCCTGTATAGGGTTTCCGAGGAGCAGCTGGTGGGTTTGAACCCCCGACCTTGTGCTTAGCAGTCCAGTGCTTATCCTATAGCACCACACCAGATGTCAAAGTTGATGTCACTCATAGCAAACCTTATAGGGCAAGTAGAACTGTCTCATGTGGCTTCCAAGGCTGGACTTTTGACGGAAACTGATGGCTGCATCTTTCTCCCACAGAGTGGCTGATGGGTTCCAACCACCGACCTCTCAGTTAACAGCCAAATGCTTAACCAGTGTGTCACCAGGGCTCCTATTTCAGGGTTGGTGTATTCCCAATATTTGAGGAGGACTCAGGGACAGTGTATTCAGGAGTTGTTCTTGTTGTTGTCAAGTGCCTTCGAGTTGGTTCCGAGCCATAGCAACCCTGTATAAGGTTTCTGAGGAGCAAGTGGTAAGCTTGAATCGCCAACCTTGCGGTTCAAAGTGACTTTGCAGTTCAATGCATTAACCCACAGCACCACACCAGAATTTCCTGTTGAGTCATAGCGACCCTATATAGTGTTTCCAAGGAGCGGCTGGTGGATCTGAACTGCTGATCGTGTGCTTATCCTACAGTGCCACACCAGGACTCCTTTTCAGGAGTTAGTGTGTTCTTAATATTTGAGGAGAACTCAGGGATACTGTATTCTAAATATTTGACGAGGATTCAGAGTTATTGTAAGGGAGCATCAGAAAGCTTGAGGAAAAGTTTTGATTATCTTTTAATTCCATTTTTTCATGAGCTTTTTGAAGCCCCCTTGTATATTCTACATAGTTAAGGAGGAAGACATGACTCTGTAAGTCCAAAGGAATTCCAGAGCTTACCTTAGGTAATTGTTCTGTCCATTAGGAAAACTGTTCTAGTACAGTTCGATATAAACTTGCCTTCGGTTTTTGCCCTGATATGTGTATACTTGTCTGTGGACACCGAAGAGGATGGTGGAGCTGGTGGAGTCTTGGTTACTTTGTGCTGAATAAATTGGTCTGTGTTGCCTTTTCGGGTGGGAACAATGAGATAAGCCTTCTCGGGAGTCTTCCTTTCTTCCTTTCTGTCTTATCTAGGTCCAGCCTTCCCTTGTTGCTAGCTTTATCTTAAAACATAATACAAAAAATATTTATTGAGCTGACTTGTATTTTCCCAGGAGGTAATTCCACCCCTTCCCCTGTCCCTGCAAAGAACAATTTGATTAAAAAATGTGCATGACTAGAAAAATACAAGCCTTTTCCTTCAAGTTGGAAAATGAAGATTCAAAGCAATGGAACATGCACTTCTTATAAACTATAGAAGGGCTGGAAAACAGCTGAGTGCAGCCTAGGGGTCTTCCCAGCAGCCTGCCTGTGTGGACCGAATGCCTGTCTACTGTGCACATCAATCTCCTTATACCTTTTTTTTTTTTTTTCCAATTGTGGAAAATGTATATATAATGAAACATTTACCATTTCAACACTCTTCTTGTTAACTGCCATCATGTTGGTTCCAACTCATAGCAACCCTATGTGCCACAGAATGAAACACTGCCTGGTTCTCAGCCCTCCTCACTGGTGTTGCCACGGTTGAGCCCATTGTTGCGGCCACTGTGTGTCAGTCCATCTCGTGGATGGGCTTCCTCTTTTTGCCCTGACCCTCCACTTTACCAAGCATGATGCCCTTCTCCAGAGACTGGTCCTTCATGATGACAGGTGCAAGCTACAAGAGACACAGTCTCACCATCCTCTCCCTTCTAAGGAGCATTCTTAGTACTTCTAAGTTTGTTCTTCTGGTAGTCCATGGTACTTTCAGTATTCTTTGCCAGCACCATAATTCAAAGGCATCAATTCTTCTATGGCCTTTCTTATTCATTATCCGGCCTTCCCCATGCATGTGAGGCACTTAAAAATAACTATGACTTGAGTCAGGCACACCTTAGTCCTCAAAGTGACACATTTGCTTTTTTAACACTGTGAAGTGGACTTTTGCAGCAGATTTGCCAAGTGCAGTACATAGTTTGATTCCTTGACTGCTGCTTCCATGGGCCTTGATTGTGGATCCAAGTAAAATGAAATCCTTCACAACTTCAGTCTTTCCTCTTTGCTTGACATGATGTTGCTGATTTGTCTAGTTGTGAGGATGTACAATCCAGCAACATTAGTCATATTTATTATGTAGTTACATAATTCAAGAGGAGCCCTGGGGGGTGCAACAGTTAAGTGCTTGACTAGTAACTGAAAGTCTGGCAGTTTGAACTCACTCAGGGACTCCGTGAGAGGAAGATCTGGCATTGCGCTCCCATAAAGTTTACAGCGTAGAAACCCTATGGAGCAGTTCTACTCTGTCAGAGAGTGTCGCCATGACTTTATGGCACACAACAACCACCACAACAGAGCACAGCAAGGAGAACTAGTTGCACTGTGGTTAAGTGCTTAACTGCTAACCAAACTGTTGATGGTTTGAACCTGCCTAGTGTCTCCACGGGAGAAAGACTTGGCGATCCGGTCCCCTAAGTGACCTTGCTTCCTTTACGGCCTATGGAAGCCCCGATGTGGCAGTTCTACTCTGTCACTTAGGGTTACTGTGAATAGAAAAGTGACTTGATGGTACTTAACAAAAGCATGTTGTTCAGCCATCATCCATTACACATTTCCAAGTGTTCTTTTCTCACCTCTAATGGAAACTCAGTTTTATAAATCAGACTCACCAGAGAGCCTGATCAGTTTGTGTTTTTGTTTATACAGTGTTATTGATGCCAGTGTTGTTGATCAGTCATTTTCTTCCTTGGAGTGGTCCATTCGATTTGAAATGATTTGGGTCAGGAGGGTTTGGCGATCTTGCAGGACCATCATAAGAGAGCCTGGAGCCATGCGTGCACATTTGAGCCTGAAGAGCTTGTCTTCTAAGACCTGTCTTGGTACTCACACCATCTCTTACCTTCAGGGAGCTCAGTGACGCTGACTGTGATGGGGCCCTGACCCTGCCTGAATTCTGCGCTGCGTTTCATCTCATTGTGGCCCGGAAGAACGGTTACCCACTGCCCGAGGGCCTGCCGCCAACTCTGCAACCAGAGTATCTGCAGGCAGGTAAGGTCTCATCTGAACCCATGAACCTTAGACGCTTTTCCATCCAGGCCTTAGAACTTTCTTTCAAGCGAGTCTAGTTTGTTTGGGGGAGTCCTTGGTATCTACAGTTGTTTTTCTTGAACTGCTATTAGATGTTCATAGCGTGTCAGATCCAGGCAAATTGGAGCCATTTCTTAAACCCAGGCCAGTGCCTTCTGCATGAATTCAGACCAAAGTCCCTCACCTTGCCATGTAAGTTACAGAATGATAGCCGCTGAAGAGGAAGATCTAGTAGAACCAATTAGTGAGTGACTTGGCACTTTAGGATTATCCCAGCTTCCCCGAGTGAGCTTGGAGAATAGAATGGCTCTCTTAGACAGCAAATGTGTGTGTGCAGCTTGATATGTATGCATCCACGCACATGTGGACAGCCATGTAATTGCCCCAAAGTTGATCACACCTGCAGGCTGGAGTAGAATTGTCTTCCTCTTTCTCCTCTACATTTCCACCATTGCAACCACTGTGGAAAATGGTATAGCACTTTCTGAAAAGTTGGAAATAAAAATACCATATGATCTAGCAAGATCTGTGACACAAACAGATATAGGCACGCTCATGTTCACAATAGCAAATGCCCATCACCAGAAGAATGGTTAAACAAACTTTGGTGTGTGTACGCACAATGGAATACCAGGCAACATCGAAGAATAATGATGAATCTGCAAAACACCTCACAACATGGATGAACTTGGAGGACATTATGCTGAGTGAAATTAATCAATCACAAAAGGACAAATGTTGTATGCGATCCCTGTTGTAAAAACTCAAGAAAAGGTTTTTGTGCTAAACAAAATTTTCTTCAGTATTTCCAGGGGTGGGAGGGAAGGGGTTGTAATTCACTGGCTCGAGGGTAGACACATGTTAACATGGGTGACAGGGAGAGCAACATACAAGAAGTGGGAGGTTGGCAGAGAAAAGATGAAGGTAGCAGGAGACACTGAGGAGTGCAAGACTTAAAGTGAGTAGAGGTAAATACTGGTAACTTATGGCATCCTGGTGTGGCTCTGTGGGCTAATGCGTCAGACTGCAAAGTTGTTTGAACTGCAATGTCAGTGGTTCAAACTCACCAGCTGCTTCTTGGAAACCCTCTACAGAGTCGCTATGGGTCAGAATAGACTTAATAACAATGGTACGTGGAAGCGATTTCAATCATTATAGTGAAGCATTGGTTGAATGTAAAACTGATGATCTGCTCTGTAAACCTTCACTCAATTCCCAAGAAAAAGTTTTAAACAAAACAAAACCCCCAAACTACTATGTGGGCCCAACATTCATTTGTCTGATAGAAAAACCAAGTGTCTCTTCCTCTTTTCCAAAAAGTGTAGAAGTGGTCTGGTTTCCACTGTTCAGAGAGGACCAGTTCCCATTGAAAGAGTCCAGAAACATCTGGTGTGGTCAACAAACTTTCTCATCTGTTAAAGGAGGTCTCTAGAAAAAGAGAGCTTCATCAGGTCACCGTTGGCAAGAGGGAGCAGGGAGTAAAGGAGGCAATGGGATTACTCCCAGTAAAGTGCTCATGTTGTGGTAAGACCTGGGAAAGGTCTCATGAAGACACCAGATTCAAAGTGGCCAATGTCATTTCTATATAAGTCTTGGGGTCTCGAACTCCCTCATATAAAAATTTGGTGATTTTCTGAATCAGATGAGGGTGGGGGAGGATCTCAGGCAAAAGAAGAGACAACCAGGCTCATGGCTGGTGCCAGGAACAGGGAAACATTTTGAGGGAAGAGGGACCTGCTCCAAAGGTCCCCCCAAAAATGTATGACTTGGAGAATCAGAGTGCAGATGGAAGTATGAACTTCGGGGCATGGACTTTGCTGCTAGCAGCTGCTTTCTGCCTGTATGAGACTGTGTCCCCTTCCTTAGAGGCTGGGGAAGACTCTCAGAGCTCCCCAGCAGTTAGCTTGTATGCGGGCACCATTATAAACGGCTCTCTTTCCTCATTGATGTCTCTCCATTCTTTCTCTCACTCTGATTCTTCGGGATTGTGGCAAAAAGGTGGTGATGTTCCCAGCACTGTCTTGGAGAGTGTGGGTGCCTGTTACCAAGTCAGTGTGGGGTCCTAGAGGCATTCCCTCTCTTGGAAATGGGACCTCCTGGGGCTTTTATCTGTTCATAATGATGTCCCTGGGTAGTGTAAATGGCTCAAGTTCACCCAACGACACCTTAGAAGAAAGGCCTGGTGATCTGCTTCCGAAAAATCAGCCACTGAAACCAGATGGAGCCCAGGTGCATCCTGACACACACGCGCGTGGGGTTCCCCTGAATTGTAGGCGACTCAACAGTAGCTGGTTTTGAATGGGGATTAGCAAGTTAGCAGTTCGAAACTACCAGTGGTTCCGCTGGAGAAAGATGAGGCGTTCTGCTCCCATAAAGATTTACAGCCTCGGAAACCCCGTGCAGGGTCACTATGAGTTGGAACCGACTCCACAGTACTTAACAACAACAGAGGACCAAGGTCTGATGCGCAGGGTCATTTAGGTGCTTTTAATGCCTCCACTGGAATCCTGGTGTGGCGCTGTGGGTTAACGCACCAGACTGCAAAGCCATTTGAACTACAAGGTTCAAGCTCACCAGTTACTCTTCAGAAACCCTATACAGGGTCACTATGGGTCAGAACCAACTTGATGGCACTTCATTGCCAACAATAACAATGCTAGATTGTTGTAGTGGCTGTACCATGGCCATGGCACCTCTGTTAGGTCATCACACTGTGTGGGAGAATTCACTGTGTAGGTTTCATGGCCTGTCTTAAAAGCTGCTGATGACAGTTTTCAAAGATGGAAAACCCAAGCAAAAAGCAGGTGAACAGGTGAAAGAGAGTCTCTGGCTTCCTTCACAGCTGCAAATAGTTCCTTTGGACTTGCTTCTGCTGTTGGGGAAACCTTTGCGGGAAGCAGGGCCCCTACGGTTTTTTGGTCTTTTATCCAGGCTGTCAGAATGAATGTCTACAGAAACAGCAGCTGAAGGGCCTTCTCATCCACACATCATTGCTGGGCCTGTGGGAGTCATCTTAAATAATAAAACACATCATATTCGGTGACAGGAAACTTTAGGTAAATCCTGAGGGTTGAGTAGCTAATTTTTAAATATTTCACCATGCCGATCAGAAACTTCTATGACTTTTCTGTTCTTTTTTAGACTATTTGCAAGGTATAAATGTTCCTGTTATTATTATTTTTTCCTATTATTGTTCAGTTTTTTTTTAGCATCCCATTTAACTACTGCTCTCTTTAAACCTAGTTCTTATTTAATTCCAACATTGTTCTAATTAATCTATATTGAGTCTTTTAAAGAATTTAATCCATGAGATTTGTGGAAAGTATCAATTAGTTGAGACCATGTATGCAAATTATACAAGCATGTTTTTGTTTTGAGTAAAGTATGGAAACAGAAATTGTATCTGAATCTATATTACTTTTAATTATAGAAATCATCCTTTTTCCCTAATGGGGAAAGCAGAATGGTGTGGGCAGGAACAGTTGGGTTGAAGCTTTTGCTGTTTTCCTGTCTAGGTGACTAGGCTGCATAGACTTTTACCATGTAGTTCAAGAAATCTCCCTTATTTCCTTTGTGAGAGGCACTGTGGTATTCCTGGGGGTTAGGGTGCTCTGTAAAACAGAATTCTACCCTCATGTAGGTTGTCAGCAATTAGGATAGATGTTAAAGAAATTCACAAACTGGTAACAAGTGCCGTGATCTAGAAGTGCAACCAGAGGCTGCATGAATTTAGGGGAGATCTCCTCCAGTATTTGAGTGGAAATGTGAAGAATGCCCTAAGGACTAAGTAGGTTTTTACCTACGTAGACAGGAAAAGTGGTCTATGGGTACAGGAATCAGGAGGTGTGCCTGGGAGGCGGGAGAGAGTGGGAAGGATCAGATTAGATGGTTCAGACCAGAGGTGCTGGAGTGGGACAAGCCAGGAAAAGGGGGGTTCAGTTCAGCTTGAGGCCGATGAGGAAGGCAGGGACCAGATCATGGGTTGTTGTTGTTGTTGTTGTTGTCAGGTGCCATCGAGTCGGAACCGACTCATAGTGACCCCATGCACAGCAGACTGAAACAATGTCCGACCCTGGGCCAACCTCACTACCGCTGCCACACTTGACGCCATCAGTGATGCCACCTGCCATCTCGTTGCGGGTCTTCCTCTTTTTCTCTGACCCTCATCATGGGTAGTAACTCCAATAGGAAAATGGCACCGTCAGAACCCCTGAAATGACCCTGCTGTTGTTTTGAGGGACAACAGGAAGATCAGGTAGAATGTTCTGGCAGCAGTCTCCTCTAGAGCGACTGTGACTTGTGCTGGAGAGGTGATGGTGGAGATGGAGAGGAAATGGACACATTTAGGAAGCAATTTAGTAGTTAATTGATAGGATTCGTAGTTCTTGGGCTTGTTAGCTTTGATATGGCGAGACCCCTCATGATAAGGCTTTAATCATACAGCCATCACCTCGCCTCTGAAACACACGGGCTCGCCATGAGTTGGAATCGACTCAATGGCAACTGGTAAGAAATTGATTGTAGGCTAGAAAGAGAAATCTTCAATTGGTTAAAACTTTCCTTGGGGTTGGATGGGACAGTGATGCTTGTAAAAGTTGTTTTGCTGAGTTCTAACCCAGAAAACCATGAGCTGACCAGGTGTAGTTGGAGAAATCAACCAGGCCACAGTCTGCCCCACTTGACCTCAACAATGTTCAGAGCAGAGAAAGCAAATGGACAGGTAGATGCTTGTACTCAGCCACATACAGTGGTGACATCTTAGTGGCCAGTACTTTACTGCAGGGGACTTTGACCACAGAGAGAGTCGAAGGGGGTCAATCCCTGTGCAGTATTTGATTACCCCCTCCAATATTTTTTAGAAGCAATGCATTAAAAGCTATTAAGCTTAATCAAATTTGATATGTAGATATTTGATATGTAGTTTCTGTTTTATTATCAACCCCATCTGCTTTTTTAAAAAAAGTTTTTATTGTGGATTGAGTGAAAGTTTATAGGGCAGATCATCAGTTTTACATTCAACAAATCATATACTTCGTTTCATTACAATGGTTATAATCCCCTCCATGTACCATCAGTTAACAGTATTTCTCTCTCTTCGTTTTAGCTCTTTTTTTTTTTTTTTTTAAACACTCAGGCATCTATAATAATTTACACCACAGATGGGCACATTCTGCAAGCCTGCCTCCTGGCTGCCATCTCTTTGTCCCTTTCTTCCCATGAGTCCAGAGTCCTCAGCTGCTCCATCTCTCCATGTCCCCATCTCTGCCTCCATTTTTGGTGTCGCTGCTTCTCTGGATAGGGTCCCGCATTCCACTTGTGCTCTTCTCCCTTGCCCATCTGCTTTTTCCTTTGGAATATAAACAGCTCTTCTAGCAGTTGAGACATTTCTTTTCGAATTACTTACTGACAAAAATGATGAAGCCGAATCTGCTTCTGAGAAATCGCCTGAGTGCTGAATATTAGATTACCAAGTAGACTGCTTCTTATTCGCCCTCATGTAAATGCACTCAGCTTCCCAATGAACAGCCTCTGTCTCTGTTGTGGGGTGGAAAACCCCATAATAGTGATTGGTCCTTGCTGGTTTTAAATCAGCAAAACTTTGTGCTGTTATTTTTGTGATTCCTGCTAATGAAAGAGAAGAGCATGCCAGATACTATCTTAGACATACATCACTAGAAAACCAGGCCAATATTTATGGCCAATAGCCATAGCTGAAATAATGTATTTCCTTAATTAATGTTTACAGTATTAAACTATCACCATACTCACTACCATTGAGAAATGATGCTAATAGCATAGTTAACAGTTAGATGTTGTGATAGCAATCATTAATGTGGGAAAGAGTCAGGATGCTATGATTTGAAATTCTGACACCAGGGACCCTCCAGCCATTACCAGACACGTGACTTTTGGAGGATATTACTCAGTGACACCGTTTCTTGGTTTCATGGTGTGTAAACTGGGCGTCATAGAATTACTGGGTTATAGATGTAAAGAACTTAAAATACTGCCTCAGTGTGGTTTGTGTGCCCTAGTGACGTATGAGAGCTCACTTCTTTATGTAGTTAGTCAACAGGCACTGAAAAGTTGATAGGGAACAATGACCACCATGACCACGTATCTGTTCTTATGTATTCTTTTTGTTCCCTAGCCTTTCCGAAGTCCAAGTGGGAGTGTGCATTATTTGATTCATATTCTGAGTCCATGTCAGGAAGCCAACAACCTCGGGACTCGCATTGGAGTGAGGTAAAAGATCTTTATTTGTTAATAAGTTTTAATGCATGTACTGTGAATTTTAATAACTTTGATTCTTTACAGACTCTGGAAAATCCACTTTTAATAGCATTCTCTTCTATACTTGGTAATTACTTGAGACTTAGTTTTTCCAAATCTAACCACCAGAGTTATCTGCAGTTCTGTTTTTTTTTTTCTTTTGCTTTATCCCATAAAACTTAATTTGGTGAGATACTCTCTTGAATGTCTACAGGTTAATTTTAGGTATAGCCAAACTAAGTCAGAAGATGCTAGCCAAATTACTTACTTTAACCAAGCTTTAAATTTCCTAGTAAATGTCTTAAAGTTGTATTTTTAGTGGTGGTGGTGGTGGTGGTGGCAGTGTGCTGTGGAATCAGTTCCAACTCATAGCAACCCTGTAGAGGGTTTCTGAGGTTGTAAACCTTGACAGGAGCAGAAAGCGTCATCTTTCTCCTGAGAGTGACTGGTAGGTAACAGTCTAGCTCATAATCCACTATGCTACTGCATATACTTGTATTTTCAGTAGCTTCGGACTAACAAGGTCTAATGAACTAGAATAAGTTTGATGAGAAATAGATATGAGAGTCCCAAATCCCATTAGAAGGTCCTTCCTCAGGATTTTTAGCTTTTAAAACAAATGAAGACTGGTTTGGGTAATCTCCAAAAGGCATTTGGGGAATCCCCACATTGTTGGGCCATTAGGGCATGAGCATAGCCAACTATTTCCTGATCTTTACATGTAGGTCAATAAAAGGAAGAATTGTTATGGTCAGTGTGAAGGCCATCATTCTCACTGAAGTCAGTATCATCATCACCAGTATTTCACTCTGATGATAGCTTCTGAGACCTGCTCTCCCCTTCCACAGAATAACTGCTAGAAATGTTTAGTAAATGGAGGTTTAGTCACAGACTCTTGCTTGAGTTGTCTGACGCCAGTTGAAACCATTGCAAGGCAATGGAAGTCAAAGGGTAGGTTGAAGGACATTTCTGTAGTTTTAAAAAAACAATGTGTGGCTATTTATTTCCTAATAGATGGTATCTTCTGCTCCTCTGGGGAGAATCAAGCCAGCTTCTGCAGTGTGGTGCCCTCTGAGGAACACCTCCTTTGAGGTGTTGCCTTCAGGTTACTTTCCTGAAGAGACAGATTTCTCTTCATGCACAAAGGATATACAGAAATGTGGTTTCAGTATGGGCAGTCGATGTGCATTTGAAGAATTTTTCTTTTTTGAATTTCCTTTTCTGTAGAATGCATATAATGGAGGAGCAGATATAAGAGTTAGCCACTCTCTGTGGCCCTCAGTAGATTTGGGGGTCTCCAGCCCTGTCTGGAGAGGTGTCTCCATCAAGTGCAAATGCACTCCTCTGCAGCTGTCCTATGCAGTGCCCTACTTTTCACAACAGATCATCCTACTTTTGGTAAATTATGAGGTTGTTAGGTGATTTACTTTAAATGTGTCATAAATACCTGTTTTTACTAAGTAAGAATTTTATTCCAACTTTCCATGATTTGAGAGGAGGCTTCAAAAAGATCATGGAAAAATGGAAGGAAAAGAAAATGTGTTTTTTTTTTCATGAACTTTTTGAAACCCACTCATATGAGATAGTATGCCCTTCCAATAATAAGAAATGGTGACCATTAATTACTGACTCACATTGCTTTCTCCCATGTACTCATACATCATCTGTCTAATAACAAAGACGAGCAAATACATAGGTAATCATAAGGTCTGGACATGTAGATGTTTTCTAACTCTAGGTCTTGCACTTTGTCTTCTTGAACTGCTGTTTGAAAAATTTTCTTTAGTTTTTTTACTTCCTAATTTCTTCCAGTTACTATAGCTCCTCTATGCCCAAGAGCAAGTTTCGAGGTCTCTTCTGACATCCATTTCTTTCTTTCCTGTCTTTTTAATGCCTCATGCATTCTTCATGTATGAAATTCTTGATGTCATCCTCCCACAACTCTTTGGTCTTTGGTCATTACTATCTAATGCATCAAATTTGTTCTTGAGATGATCTCTAAATCCAGGTGGAATATATTGAAGGTCATATTTTACTTTTATGGACTTGTTTTAATTGTTTTCAGATTCAGCCTGAACTTGCATATGATGGTCTGTTCCACAGCCAGCCCTTGTTTTGGCTGATGATAATGGAGCTTTTCCACTATCTCTTTCCACAGATGTAGTCAGTTTGATTTCTGTGTATTCCATCTGGTGAGGTCCATGTGTATTGTTGTTGTTGTTAGGTGCTATCAAGTTGGTGCAGACTCATAGCAATCCTGTGCATAGCAGAATGAAACACTGCCCGATCCTGGGTCAACCTCACTATTGTTGACACGCTTGAGTCCATTGATGCTGCCACTTGGTCAGTCCATCTCGCTGGGGGTCTTTCTCCTTTTCTCTGACCCTCCACCTTACCAAACATGATATCCTTCTCCAGCGACTGGTCCCTCCTGATAATATGTCCGAAGTATGAGAGACAAAGTCTGGCCATCTTGGCCTCCAAGGAGCATTCTGGCTGCACTTCTTCCAAAATGGATCTATTGGTTCTTTTGGCAGCCCATGGCACTTTCAATATTCTCCTCCAACACTGTAACTCAAAAGCATCAATTCTTCTACGGTCTTCCTTATTCACTATCTGACTTTCCATGTGTCTAGTCGTCTTTTATGTTGTAGGAAAAAAATGCAATGAATAATTCATTAATCTTGCAAAATTCTGTCATGAGATCACCAGCATCATATCTAAGGCCATTTTTTTCCCCAAATACAGATCCTTCCTCTTTGTTTCCAAGTTTTGCATTCCAATCACCAGTAATTATCTTTATGTTTTGATTGCATGTTTGATCAATTTAAGACTGAAGAAGTTGGTAGAATTCTTCAATTTTGTAATCACTGGCTTTAGTGGTCTGTGGGTACATTTGAATAATAGGGGTATTGACTGGTCTTCCTTGTGGGCATATGGACATTATTCTACCACAGACAGCATTGTACATCAAGGTAGATCTTGAAATGCTCGTTTTGACAATGAATGTGACTTCATTCCTCTTAAAATTTGTCATTCCTGGCATAGTAAACCATATGATTGTCAGATCCAAAATGCCCAATACTTGTCTGTTTCAACTCACTAATGTCTAGGATGGATTGACAAAGTGTTCAGCGTGGCATTGGGTTCAGCGTGGCAACGATAGTGAGGTTGGCCCAGGATTGGGCAGTGTTTGGTTCTGCTGTGCATAAGGTTGCTATGGGTCGTCACCGACTCCATGGCACCTAACAACAACAATGTCTAGGATATTGATCTTCATGTATTCCATTTCACTTTTGAAATTTTCCAGTTTTCCTAGACCCATACTTTGTCCGTTCTGTGTTTCAATTATTAATGGATGTTTGTAGCTGTTTCTTCTCATTTTGAGTTGTGCCCCATCAGCCAATGAAGATCCCAAAAGCTTACTCTGTCCACGTAATTATGGTCACCTCTACTTTGAGAAAGCAACTCTTCTGCAGTTGTATTTTGAGTGCTTTTCAACCTGAGGGCTCATCTTCTGGCATTATATCAGACAATGTTCCGCTGCTATTCGTAAAGTTTTCCATGGCTAACCATTCAGAAGTGGTCTTCCTAGTCTGTCTTAGTCTGTAACCTTCGCTGAAACCTGTCCAATATGGGCAGTTCTTCTGGTGTTAAAATTTTTACTTGCATGTGATACTAATGATTTCCTCATTCCATTGGGTCACCTTTTTTGGAATGCACACAAATATGGCTCTCTTCTAATCGGTTAACCAAGTGGCACTGTAACAGCATCACAGCTACACACA